AACTGGTGCTTTGCCATGAAAGAATATTTCGAAATTCATACCCCAACGATAACAACAAAAATTAGTGAGTTACGTGCTGGACATGTATGACCTCAATTTGAAGGTATTGTTGTTGTTTCTTTTCCAAAATCTTGTTGTTTTTTAACACCGAAACAATTGTAAGAAAGGTCGTCTATTAACGGCAAGATTTTATTAGACTATTTCAGTGGCCTCATATATTCGAAGTCTCAACTCATTCCAGCCCCGCTTTCAATTTGTTCCTTAACCGGAACACTGTTATTTTACGCGGTGAAAGTGTGTGTGTGTTTATGTTTTATCGAATTCAGACTGAAAGTGTAAAGATAAAGTTCTTTGTTCCTGCTGGTTCCCACGAACCATAAGAGAGTAGGTTAGGCATTGCGATGCAGAAACTTTCCAAACATAACAACCTATCAAACGAAAAAAAAGAAAAAAGAACAAATGAAACGTGGCATGCGCAACACCCTGAGCAAGTGTAAACAGCGGCACCGCGTTCCAAGACAAATCAACGCGGGGATATCGAGGCCAGACAGAAGACGAATCCCGGACAAAAGCTCACCGGACAAAAACTCACCGGACAGAAGCTCACCGGACAAAAGCTCACCGGACAAAAGCTCACCCGTTTTTTCTCAGACCCGGACAAAAGCTCACCCATATTTTCACAGACCCGGACAAAAGCTCACCACGAGAAAATTTCATGTTGGTCTTAACACGAGTGCGGACAACTTAGGTGCATGCGTGCGACACAAAAAGGCAACGATAAATTAAATCTGACAGGCGCATGGTTTGTTGATTTTAATAGAAACAAGTTTATTTATCGATTGGTTAGAAGCGAATGCAGTGCCCCACTAGCTCCAGCAGTCCTGGTAGATCTCGATGTACATGCAAGCCCTCGCAAATATTTCTAAGACGATTCTGCAGCTGCAGAGTAATTTTTCGCACCCGCTTTACGGTGGGCTCACTTCTCCGGGCTTTTGTCAATGCCGTGGCAACGTGCGCCTGATTTTGCTGTAGGCATTCAATCAGCCTCAAGACGCTTGGATGGGCGTGGCCGACGGGCTTCTGGAACCCGGTACTCTATCTTTCGCAGGTGTTGCTCATCCGAGGCCAGATTCACGAAGAGCTTCTTAGGCTACGACAACTTAGCTAAGAAGTTCGTAAGTTACGCACATCGTAAGAGGAGGCGAAATCGGTATTCACGAACGCCTTCTTAAGTGAGAGGAGGAAAGTGAAACTTTCTTACGCTCGAATGACGACTTCCGGTGTCTCGCCAGTTCCCGAGTATTGCGAGAGCGAGCTGTTGCTATGGCGACAGCGTGTCGGGCAGCTCTAACAGCCAATCGGAGAGCTCCATCGCGGCGTGTTGTTTGAAGAACCAGCGCGACGACGACGTGCACGCTCCACGACCTCCTCTCGCTCCGTGCTGAACATGTCGGCGCAACCTACCCCAAAACGCGTTCGAATGCCTAATTTTACCGATGCTGAAATCGAGGCATTGGTCGACGGCTACGAGGCCAACAAGGTTGCTGTCGACGCAAAAGGTGACGGTCCGCACGGCGCCCGGGCGAAGCAGCGGGCGTGGGACCGAATCACCGCTTCGCTTTTCGCCGTGTCCGGGATCCGGAGGGATGTGGCCGAAATAAAAAAGAAGTGGTCTGACCACAAGAGTGCCAACAAGATTCGCGGTAAGAATCGGCATATTTTCTGTACAGCTAGACTCTATGTTTATCACCATGCCGCTTTGCGCAGGGGCCGCTGTACGGCGGAGTCAAAATGCCACGGGGGGTGGCCCGGGGGAACCGCCGCTTACCGGCGCCGAAGAGCGCGTAATCAGCCTCCTCCATGAGGATTCAGTACTCGGGATCGACGGCGGGTTCGACATCGGGGTGCAGCAGTTGGGTGAGTCCTAAATTCTTGACAAAGGCCGTGAGGGCGAGCTCAAACAGAGTTTCAACCCAGGGCCATTGTCAATCACTTGTTTTAAGAAAAGCTGTTAAGTGATACGTTCGCTTTGTGTGATCTATCTATGCAGATGTTTCGGCGTCCCCCCGCACTTCGCAGGTGATCTCCCCAGCAGGTGAGTTCTAATGTCGAGTTTTCACGAGTTTGCGAAATGATTGCAATGCATTTTCAGTTTTCGTTATAGATGCCGATGCTGGGCCGAGTAGTGCCCCAGATATGGGTGACATGACCCTAGCAAGGTAAGGGGATCAATGAAAAAAAAAAGTATGATCTATATGTGCACTGACACCTCCTGTTACTTCTTTTCTAGCGAAACTGTGGAAATGCAGCTGTCTGACCAGAGTGAGTTACTATGAACCACACTATGGTTAAATATTGTTGTATAAAAATGTTCACATTGTGCACGAGGACATTCATTGTTTCACACAAGAATGCTCAATTCGGTTTACTATAACTAGGGTTCCATGTTTTTGGCATATACACCCATAAGCCTAAAAAATTAACCCCCAAGGTTTGTTTTGTTTTTTTGTTGTTAGAAATCGGAAAACAAAATATAAAAGATGTCTTAAAATGAAACTCTGTTGGACCAGCCACTGTCAGTCTTGCATCATCTGATAAAGCTTTCTGCGTACTCATGTCCAGGGCCAGGCAATCAGACAGGTGATCGACCGGTCCTGTGAAAATGTTGTATGCAGTGCCTAGCAAGCTCAACGGTGAATGTAATTCAGTAATGACGAAAGATTGTCGAAAAGCTTATTTTGTCTTGTTAAGATGGAGGCTTGATTGTTCATCCTTGCATGTAACAGCATACAAGACAATCTTTTTTAAAAAAACAGTAATACAAGAGAGCACATTTGCACAGTGTTGGCTAGCAACTCAGCGGTATGTTTCTTCTCCTTCTTTCGCGCCGTTAAATGGAACAATTCAAAACCCTTTGCTAGCGTCTTAGTCGCAAGATAGTCCCCGATGAAGCTAAATAAGAAACGCTTGCATGTTTGTCATCTAACCTGGCTATCCTCTCAGCCTCAATAATCCCCCATGTTAGCTGGTTCCCACTTTTGCTTATTACAGTGCTGTTAGTTAGGTCTGCACAACAACAGAAAGCCTGATAATAAATGTCTAGGTTTCTGGAAATTTCTTTATTAATGTCGTATTTGACTTCTCGTAGTCTGTGGTGGGCAAGCAAATATCCGTGTTAGTCCAACACCACCCGTGCATAACGTCATTATTAGCAAGTCCCAACCCACCCCAAGCAGCATACATGGCAAAGCTCAACAAGAGTATGTGGCAATGTGGCGACCCTGCACGCCAGCATTGCACTCACTGAGGGGCGACACGGGCACATCATGGATGCAAACGCAAGCAAGATGGCTCTGACTGGATCAACTAGTTATGCCGTACATGCCTTGTGTTTCAGGTGGTATTGGCTTGTCGTACGATAGGGTCTAAGGCTTTACAAAGTATTCCCATAGTATGTGAGACTACAATTCTTTTATTGATTTCAAAGGCACTCAGAGACACCGAGGCAGACAAATCGCAGCAGCAAGGGCAATGGCTGCTCGGGCAGCAGCTGCCCAAATCGCCAATCCCCCGAACGCGGAGAGTGGCACTGGGACTCCCCCAAGAGGTCGGCAAAGTAAGTATGCTTAGAACAGCAGAGTATAACATGTAACAAGATAGATATGATTGCAAAGGACAAAGATAGATGATTATTTCTACTTTGTTGTCAAGACTTGGCCTGCATGTTTGTGCAATATGGTGCTCCAATTCCCAGTTTCTGAGGTTCACCAGCTATGGCAGCATACATTAATACTGTGACCTGCTGCTTTACTCTCACTTGCAGCATAATATGCAAAGTTGTTTGTTGAGAATAGAAACAGATGTAACGCATAATAAACCCATTCATTCCACCAGGGGAACTATATCAATGTATATTTTGTTTTCAATACCTCATGTAGGTCCTCCACCACAGAGGAAAAATAATTTAAATAAACTTTAATATGCCTTATGTTTCACCTCTTTCGTAAAGCTCGCATAAAATGTACAAAGACATGAAGCTTAATACTTTGGGAATGTGTAGAGGTGCCATCAGAGCTCACCTATACATGTTACAAAATTTCCACTCATATTGAAAATGTGACAAATCAATATTTCATTACAGACAGCAGCGAAGACACCGGCCGGGAAATCCTCGAATCCCAGCGAGCGATTCTCGCACGGCTCGACGAGATAACCCTTGCGCAGCAGGGGCAACTATTAGCCCTGCAACAGCTTGTTGCACTTAAATCGTACAAGTACGGCGTAAAATTTGTTGATAATAACATTGTTGGCTAATGAAGAAGGCATTATTAGAGAAGCGAGAGTGAAGGCCGGCTCACACTGCATCATTTCTCACACTACATTACGATACAAACTCTCACGACCACCTATAACCCTAGCAACCAGCAATGCAACGAGCATTTCATTGCTGGTTGCCGTGGTTATGAGAAGTAGTAAGTTTTTATATCGTAATATAGCGTAAGAAATGACAGTGTAAACTAATCTTGAAGTGCAATGATTGTTTTTGTAAAGTGCAATACTCGTTCTTCAAAGTGCAAGACATGTTTTCTAAAGTGCAATAAATCTTTCTTAAAAGTATATACACAGGACGTTGGCTAGTGCATATTTTTTACATTAAAATAAAGGTTTGACAATGTTCCACATACCAAAAATTCAATATTGTCTTTTTTTTAATGTTTATACAGTATGATGTTAGTCCGCCATCAAGACTTGTCTCTTAGCTGTAGATGAGCAACTTGGCCAGGGCAGTGGCACTGCTAACCTGGGGTTTTACCGTGCATCATGCAGTAGTGATACACGTTTTCTTGATGACACAGAACATAAAAACTTTGACAACAGTTGCAACTATCTTGGGCTTAAAGAGTGTCATTGTTCAAAAAGAAAAAGCTGGTTAAAAAATTCACTCAAAAAACCCACTTTTGTCCAGCTCGTGAAAGTAGCTAGTGGCTCACGGCTCTGGCTCATGTAAAAGCATTGCGGACAAGGGCACTCCTAGCAGCTGTGCCCGCTACCATGGGTCGTGCTCTCCTTGTTCTTGTGGCTCTGGGACAGTTGTTGTTGTTCTCCTCGTCCTCGTCTTCCTCTTCTTCCTCCTCCTCTTCGTCCTCCGACAGGTCAACTGCAAAGAAAAGGACAGTAATTGGCAAGTTTCCTCAATAATATTGCTTCTTGATGCGAGAAATGCTCACTGTAGTCGGTGACAGGTTAAGAGTACAGTAGAAGCTCCTCCCACCTCCCTCCCCTACGGTGGATCGAAAGCTGGAGAGGAGGCAACCTCCTCTCCAGAGTTTGCTCTGCTAAAGTGGCAAGAGGGGGAGGAGCTTCCACTTCACTCTTAACCTGTCACCGACTATTAGTATAATGAATGTTTACGCCTAGTTACTGAAAATAGACATGCAATAGAAATGCATTGAAATTTTTTTCATCATTTAATTGCATCAGAGTACAAGTGGCATCAAGTGTGGCAATGCGTGCAATGCATGCCTCGCGCAGCCCTTGGAAGCAAATAGTACCACAGCACTGCCAGAGCTCTCGAGGTGCCATCTTGCTTCTCCAGAGCTTGCTCATGGCACGCATCTCGCAAGTTAGAGGCGTATGGTTTTTGTATAAGTATAGTATTTTTTTAGACAGTGTAATGTTGGTCTGCTTCTGCGTGGCAACGCTGGTCTAAAGTAGATGAGAAATATGGCCAGTGCAGTGTCACGACTGCTAGACTCCGTTTCACTATGACATTAGCAAATCATACAAGGGATGGCTCCTGTGATCCAACAAGAGCGTCGGTGCAAGGCATGCGATACCACACTGGCATTTGTGTGATTGCAACTAGAAAGGCCTGCTGTTGTATGCGGCAGAATCAATGAACTTGGGAAGAATGTAACTTATGAAAAAGGGGCAAACAGAAACCTCTCAATTGTGTGACCCTGCAATTATGTTACCTAGCAGTTCATTAAGGGAGACATGGTGCCGCATGTAATCAATGCAAACAGACTTTCCATGCCAAAAAAAAGAAATCACAATTGAAAATGTAAATTTATTTAGTTATCACACTACCACAATATCCTGAGAGATACCCCACCTATAACATAGCACATTAACTGAAACTAGGGGGTGAACTAACTTTCAGCATTCAAAAGTCAGTTTAACTTCACCAATTAATAAATTAAAAATCATGCTACAAATCAGGATGGGCTATCTTTTGGGAATGGGTGATCTCTCAGGATATTACGGTATTGTTTACATGTAGGGAGCCCCAAAACATTGAGGACTGTGAGTGTGAGGTGAGGAGATGTGTGCAAGTATCGTGGAAAAACGTATCAAAGTGTGACTTTGCAATAATGTTACCTAGCGGTTCATCGAGGGAGACATGGTGCCGCCTGCAATAGTTGTGCAGGACAACACAGGCCACGATGATGCGGCAGCAGATTTTCGGCTGATACTGCAGTACCCCACCAGACTTGTCCAGGCACCTGAATAGACACACCAATCGCTGGTTTTCCTTCAAACCACTCTGATCGCTAAGAATAACCAGACTTGTCTAGGCACCTGAATCTCGTCTTCAGGATTCCGAATGTCCGCTCAATGACCTGTCGGGTCTTTGTGAGGGCCTCGTTGTAATCCTCCTCAGGCTGATCCTTCGGCGTCCTGATGGGCGTCATCAGCCATGGCTGGACCGAATAACCAGCATCTCCTGCGTTGCACGAAAAGAGGCTTCAACAGTCTCTTTCATGCCGACACATTTACTTTTTATGGTTTTTAAAATGTACCCCCAAGTGCTCCAAGGCATTGCACTCCAGGCTTGTCAATAGACAACACAACTGCCAATACAAGATACTTTTGGGTGTTCATTAAAATTTTGCTTTGGCCAAAACCAAAGAGTGCCTTTCATCAAAGTGCCTCAAAAGCAACCATGTGAAATGATTGGATGCCTTTTTCAATCAGTCTGTTGACTGTAGCTTGCATTACACTAATCTTGTTTGTGTGACAATGCTTTATAGCAAACCTAAAAAAACTTACCCAGCAGCCAACCATCAGGACCAGTGCCTGCGGCAAACTGATCGTAGAGGTCGCAGTTCCTCCACATGTAGCTATCGTGGGTGCTCCCCGGCCACTTCACAGTCAACTCTGTGATAATGCACTCTGGGTTGCAGATGGCCTGCACGTTTATGGAGGTGTACCCTTTTCGATTTAAATAGGCAGGCTTGTCCTCCTTGGACACCTTGATAGCAATGTGGGTGCCATCAATGCACCCTAACACCCTCGGGAAGCCAGCAATCCCAAGGAACGCTGCAGAATGAACGAAAAGTAATGTTAGGACAGGCACTGAAACACAGCAGGGCTGTTATCCTACTACACTTTTTATCATAACTCGGAAATTGTCAACGCTACGACCCTAGTTGAGTAATTGGATTATCGAAAGAAGGAGGCGTGTGACAATGTATTGGCGGTGTGTGCAACTCCTGCAGAGAGCTTTCATCTGCTACGCTGCTGCTCTCTTTGGGCCAAGAAGGCTCCAACGTTTACTCTTTGCCATCAGTGGAAATGTAGCAAGCATAGTTGCCTGACAAGCATGCAAAAACTATAACTGCATGAACTGTACTCATCATATGCCTCCAAGTAATGATGGAAAAGAAGGAAAGAAAATAGCTGTATGTGTGCTTGACAAATTTGATCAGTACTAGCGTAAAAAGGTATTCAGATCCCAACCGAACGACGTAACATTTTATAAGGGCTTGTATTGCGACTCACGAAGCTGTCACAGTTGTTATACCCCGCAAACTAACGCAACAAGTTGTTCTTACCGACTCAGTGTCGTCAAAAGAGAAAACTAAATCATAATCATGCAACACTCATTACAAGTGGGAAACTCTACGATGCTTTCGCTGTCTGCTGCGGCATACCTGCTCCGAACACGTCAACTACTCTTTTTATTTACCCAAGAGTGTCAGAGCACGTTTAACATGCACCCCAAACCTGCAGTATGCTTCGAGCTCGAAAGCAGACCGCGGCTAACCGCGGTCGGCGGCGTACGACTCATCACGCCGCCGACACACTGACAACGATTATTTAGTGCATTCCTAGAAGAGGTAGTAAAAAAAAAAAAAAACCGCGAAATCGACAATATTTTCGTTAAATGGGCGTGAACCGTACTGCTCACCCAACGAGGTGAGCGACGCCGCTCTCCGCGTCGTGGGGAAGCGGATTCCTTCCGTGGCCATGAGGACGATGGCCTGGCTCACGCTGTTCACAACTCGTGATGCACTCGCTTGGCTTAAATGGACCACATCGCCCACGACCGACTGGAAGCTGCCGCTGGCATAGAAGCGGAGGGCCAGCAGGACTTGAGCGTCGACCGGTAGTGCGCAGCTGCGCATCGTCGGCCGGCGAAGGCTTGGGGCGAGCGCATCGCACAATCCAAGTATCGCCTCTTTGGGCATGCGGTAGTAGCGCTCCAAGATATGCTCCGGCACATCTCTAATCGTTATGCGGCTCCGGAACAACCTCTCCCGCCTCAGACTTCTCTGCTCGTCGCGCCGAAGCAGCCAGGCGACGTAGGCAGCCATGTTTGATGTTCGATCTTAAGAAGTGCGTAAGACACCTCGGAGGCTGTCGTAGGATTTTGGCGTAAGTTACGCAAAAGCTACGACGATTTCGTTTCGTGAATACCGATTTCTTCTCAGGATTTGTCTTACGCACTTTTTTGGCGTAAGTTCGCTTCGTGAATCCGGCCTCCGGTCTTTATCTTGAAGAGTGGTGTCGTACATATTCCTCCGTACAGGGGGAAACTCCGGTCGCCGTCGGCGCAGAGTCAGGCGAAGGGAAGAATTCGCTCTGGGTGCCGCCGCAGATGGAACAGAAGCATAACGGAAGCGGCCGTTGAAATACGTGCAATCAAAATAGTCCAGTAGGTAGCGATGTCACCGGTAGACTTTTCCCTGGTGGTCAGTTCTTGTGGAACAAGCTGTGATGGAAGGAACCCGAGCCTATCTAAAATACCGCACAATTTTTTAAATTGGTCATCTGTTTTGTACTTTTCCAAAAGGCCAAACTCCCGTTCTTTCAAATTATTTTTAAAAAATTCTCAACTCAATGGTGGATGAGGTACAAGTTCTCCTAAAAATGGTCCAATGTCCATTGCGTCCGCACTTTATTTCAGCCCGTGTTTCGCCCGGATAGTAAAAAAAAAAGAAATCGAGGTGAGCTTTTGTCCGGGTCTGTCAAAAAACGGGTGAGCTTTTGTCCGGGTCTGTCAAAAAACGGGTGAGCTTTTGTCCGGGTCTGTCAAAAAACGGGTGAGCTTTTGTCCGGTGAGCTTTTGTCCGGTGAGCTTCTGTCCGGTGAGCTTTAGTCCGGTGAGCTTTTGTCCGGTTACCACAGAAGACACCCCTGGAAAGACAAACGAACCTCAAAAGGACAACAACAACAAAAAAACAACACAAATATCCAGAAAACAAACTTGAAAGATAAAAAAGAAATCGGGAGAGAGAAGGGGGTGACGCTAGGACGGCGACCACGCACTCAGGCGCAAGAGGCTGAAGTGCACGTTGAACGAAACTCATTCTTCAAGCCGTCCGACGGCTTCGTTCGCTCGGCTTCGCGGGAGACGCGGCCGCAGTTATGCACGCGAGACGGCACCCAGCCCCATACCGGATGGCCGCCGCATCTGTAATACATTACGCCGCAGAGAAAGGGGCAGAGAGAGGAACCGATCCAAAGCAAAACACAGTTTTGCACACAAAACAAAACAAAAAAGAAACATGCGACAGGTGGAAATGGACGCCCCGTGCTTCGTCTCCGATTTACGCTGTGAAAAATGTGAAAGACACGAGCACAGAGACCGAGCCGTGACTGATCATATTGGGTGAGCGTGCTGACTTTGTATACTATCTGCTTTCTCGCACGCGCCACGCGGCGTGAGAAACAGTGTAAACGTTTTTTTTTGTTTTGTTTTGTTTTTTTTTCGGTTTTTTGAATTTGCGAATATGCGTTTGGAGTTGCACGCCAATTTTGTTGTCGGTGGCGGCAGGTTTGCGAGGACGGTTTTGGGCGTATATAGATAGCCTCGTTTGAAAACGGCAGGCAAGCAAGCGTTTGGGTGCTAAAAAACACCTTCACGCGATATCAGACCGACATGTTTGGGAATATTGTGAGCCGTCTGAATACCGCGAACAATCGTCGCGTAAAGACAGTTGGTGACGCGCGATCTTATGGAAGTAATTAAAATGTTACTTTTTTATGTGTGTACCTGACCTTCCTTCTTTTTTTTCTCTCTTCTGGGCTGCGGGGAGAGAGAGAGCGGGGCGGGGGGAGGGGCACAATAACCCTTTGAGTTTGATTCATATCCGTGCACGAAAATTAAACCCGCACGCAGATAAACGCTGAACCCAAAAAAGGACGGCATAAACAGCTCCCTTTTTCGAACAGAGTATCATAGCCAAGCTGTTTCCTCTAAAATACACAAAAATCCCCACTAAAGCTTGCATAAAATTCAAATTTCTGTGATTGGCTCGTGTGGACACCGTCAGCGGACCGACTGCTTGTGGATAAAGTCGCACTCGACAGTGTCCCACCGGTTTCGTGCAGCCTCGGCTTTTCTTCCGCTATCTTCCCGGCAACCTAAACCCGTATTGATAGCAAATTTTCCTGTCTACAGACATCTAATGGCCCAGCGCGAGACAGACGCAGAGAAGCTTCGGGTGCTTAAAACTTTGGCTACTGAGATAAGGGTGTCCGAGGAGGAGCCCCATTATCTATACATAGTGAAAGCTTTTCTGGCAATGAAGCCGAAGCTAATGGTACCCGTGCGCTCGTTTAATCAGAGCGCTGATCAAAGCTGTGTATGCGCGGTCTTGGAGTCCTCTGAAAGGCCAGGAAACGTTGTCCCCGAACATACCTGGATGGCAGAAAACAGAGACCCTTTCGTGGAACGGTGTATTTCTTCCTTTTCTTCTTTTTTTTTAATATTAACTGCATTGAAGGGAATCGCAACCCCGAACTCTTTAAGAAGTAGCGGAGTTTCTTTTCTTATGCCGTTCTCGAAACCACCCTGCCAGTTGCATTCCGGCGTATAGGTATAGCCCAAATTTAAGTTTTAGAATGAAATACTTGATTGTAGCAAGTTTCCTATATATCTCCTTGTTTTAGCCATGAATATCACTACAGTCAGGAACAAGTCAGGGATGGTTAGGAACTTAGGGCTGACGCATTGAGGATGGCATCATTAAATGCCTGTTGCTAGTTGAAAGAACTGCAGTCTCTGTCTTCGTCCCTATATGTTTTATTATTTCCTGTTTATCTAAGCAAAAGATTACTACATGCTCTTTATTTTACGCTGGGTTTACCTCGCCAAATGTTGTTCCCTTAAAGCATCACGGTCCATCAAATCCGAAGTTGCAGCTGTGACTCAGCAGAAAAAGGGGCGCAGCTTCGGAATATAGTCATATACGTATAACGCCACGCACAGCTACCCACTCACGGGGCTGCGGCGCAAATTCGTATACATCTGCATTCCTTCGGGAACTACACAAAAACAATCAGAACGCTGTGTAATCACTGAAAAACGACGACCGACACACGAACTTTACACCGGAAACGCATAAGGCGCGTTGCCAGTCGAAGCAGTCACTTTCGTTGTGCATTTATGCCCTATGGTATATATTTAACCTTCTCTGTGACTTTCCGTGCGACCATTGATAAAAATACATATTCGGACCGTAGTTGTCCCAGTTGGCTACACACGATGATAGCTTAACCGCTAGTTGATTTCCCCATATTATAACCTATGACTGATGGACAATCGACCTTCCAAACTTCTAGGTTGTTAGTATGTATACGACTTCAGAGAAGTTACAGCGACACAGGTGCCAAATCTGTATTGCCCGAACGAGTTTGTATTTTAGGTCTCTACTTCGTATCCAAGTCGCGTCATCCAGCAGTCGCTCCATGCTTCTTGTAGCCGCGTGAGTGAATCTAAAAATCGCCATAAAAGCAAACAAAAACCTAGAAAAACCAATATCGAGACAAGAACGAGTGGGAAAAGACCAGACGGCCGGGTACATCGTTCCTTCCGTCGCTAGCTGAAGAGAGATACGCCTATGCCAAGCGGTACACAGGAAAGCTCTTAAATGAGAGTAATTGGAAGGGCAATAGAAAAAAAAAGAAGTAATGGGTGGAGGTTGAGTTAAAGGAGCCGCCATCGACAAGCCGCCGCTCAGGAAGCGCCCGAAGAGAACGACTAGAGAGCATTCATTTAAGAGAGGGGGCAACTCAAACAATTAGGAGCGTTTGCAGTTTAATGGCGGGGGTTCTTTTGGGCGGATTGGCAACATTTGCGCATGCGTTGCGTTTTCGCGCGGCGAGGAGGAAGGTGGGCGGAGAGACCGATCCACATACGCCCACAGATAACACAACGAAGTCCGTAGCAACGTCAGCTAAAGGTCCGGTCGCTTTTGTCACCCCTCACTACTCGTATGTGAAACGGAAGTTCGTCTGCTTCTTTGCAAGGGTTGCGGTGACATCAGAACGACGTCGAGCTCTTATTGACTGATTAAAATAAAAAATAGTGCGTAGGCCTCAAGGCGTCTCGCATTGAGGTCCACCCACTATCCTTTCAATCCAAGCCAATCAGAGCTCGGCGTCGTTCTGACGTCACCGCAACGACTTTGCTAGAAGCAGACGACTTTCTCTCCGTCGCAAGGTTGGGAGCACTCTGACATCTAGGCACACTTCCCGGGGAGGCGTGTTGGAGGACTCCTCCCGATTTCCGGACCGCCCCTCCGTTTTCACGTTCTCTCCCGATTTGGTCGCGTGTCTGTTCGCGGGGAACGGACTGCTTGCTCTTCGGTAAATTGGGTTCCTCAATTTGGCTAACCCGGAAAGGGCACACGCTCTTTTTTGGGAGAGCGACTGCCCGGTGCGAGTTTGTTTCCTGACGACTCCGAAGAGTGATGGAGTAGAATAGTTGGTTTCCGAACGGCAATGCAGCAAACCCGAAAGAAATTATACGGCTGTTCATACAGTTCGGAAACTATGGAGGCGGTGTGTTGCGGCTTAAGTGAAATAGTACGTTGCACACTTTTACAGCGACCAGCGAAGAGATGTGTGCACTGGCAGCTCAAGAAGCGAAGGGTGCAGCGAGTTGAGAGTATATAATTTTCGCTCCGAAGCCCATGAGATGGCTGCATTAGGCGATAGAAATGACGAACATGCGAATCACGAAACAAGATGAGTGAACATAATACACCTGCGTTTCTTAAGTTGTCAATGACTATACCAGAATCAATCAATCAATCAATCAATGTATCTATCTATCTATCTATCTATCTATCTAGCTATCTATCTATCTGTCTATCTATCTGTCTATCTGTCTATCTATCTGTCTATCTATCTGTCTGTCTATCTATCTACCTATCTATCTATCTATCTATCTACCTATCTATCTATCTATCTATCTATCTATCTATCTATCTATCTATCTATCTATCTATCTATCTATCTATCTA